GAGCTACATGAAATCGATGGATGCTGAGGGAAGGAGAATCAGTTTTCTCCAAGGACTAGCTCCCTGGGAGGTTATCTAATCCAAAATGGACAACCCTAAACACAGGTACAGACAAGTATCACCTAATAGACTTAGTGCTTTATATGTGTGTGTATTTGTAAATGTATGTGTGTATATATAACAATAATAATCAAAGAAGAAGATAAATTAAGAGGGACTGGAGGGACATGGGAGGAGTTGGTGGAAGACTGGGAGGGATGGAAATAAAGTAAATACAATACTCATGTTTGAAATTCTCAAATATAAAAATATTTTTAAGACAATCACATGACTTTGACATCATATCCATGTGACTCTGTGGAAGTACATTCTATGATGTTTCTGTGGTGAAAACCATTGCTTAAATATGTATTTATCAAAACATTAAAAGATTGCTGTGTTGTATGTGGTAGAAAAGCCTACCACACTTCACAGTGAATTTTATTGATGAATATATTGTAAGGTTTTAGAGAGTGAGAGACTGTACGTCCCTGGATAGGATTCCTATACCAACCTTTATCCACGGCTCAGAAACCACTGGGGAAGAGGAGGCAGAAAGATTTCACAGCCAGATTGGTGTGTGAATATAAGGTAATGGAGGCTTTTAGGCTTCTGGAAACTTGCTCATGAACTTGCAACAATGGTGACAGCACAAGACATATGCCTATTCAATGAGATGAAAATCCAGCATAGAGTGGGCAAAATGGACAGCAGGCTCCAATCCTAACCAAGGAACTATTGGCAAATGATTACTGTGGGATGAAGGAGAGTAGATTTTTAAGGGAATGACTCTAGATATGCACAGTAGACTCCAGGGGACGAACTTGAACCAAGACATTTGGGTACAAATGTTTGACTGGGTAGGACTTAACATATATTACAGAATGCAGGAAAACCAGTGGGCAGGCAACTCAGGGGCATACTTGGGTGAGGGGTTCTAAATTTGATTAAGATGTATTATATGAAATCCACAAAAACTCAAAAAATAGGGAAAAGGAATATATGACAAGGGCAGGAGTGTATAAAATACTGAAGAGTATTCCTTTCAAACACTGAGCTGCTGAAAATGAGAAGTGAGATGTTTTTAGAGACATGAGGTTTATTAAGATAAGGAAAGCTTATGAGATGAGTAAAATTCACCAGAATGGAGAAACAGAGACAAAAATATAAGAAGAAGATTATACTCAGTGCAGGAAGATAACTGAGATGAGGATAGAAAATGGAACTCAGAACAAAGATGAAAAGAATGAAAACAGTCAAAGAAAGCAGGCATCCAAGCGAAGAGCAGAAAGGAACAGTGCGCAAACCAACTGACCGTACAACAGAATCTAAAGAAGTCTGCTGAGTGTTTGCATTCTTTTTCCATTTATTAACTGATTTCAGTTAACAAGAGAAAATATTTTAGGCATATCAGAGATTTGGAATAATGAGAAATTTTTAAATAAACAGGTTAGCCGGTGAACAATATAATGACTAAATAATTGTTGAAATATTGCTAAACATCCTATGAGCTAAGCACAGGTTAGGATTAATATGAGCATTCATGTGATTCTCCCCAGTACTCATCAGCACAGGGGTGACAGAAAACATCTACAACTGGGCTACAATTTCTCAAGTAAAATTTACAGTAATCATACAGAAAATTACCTCAGGATAGTGTCAAGGATAGATGAACAGGGTTTTATAGTGACCTACAGAAAGTACAAAGTTAGCTAATAGAAAATAAATCAAAAGATTAATTGTTTTGTCATTAGGAATTCTGAATAAAGTGCTGGAAATGTAAATATCAGATTCTTAAGAGCAGAGACAGGTTCTAGAGAGATGGCTCAATGATTAAGAGCATTGGCTGCTCTTACAGAGGACCCGGGTTCAGCTTTCAGTACCCATATGGTGGCCAACAAATGTCTGTAATTCCCATTCCTTGGGATCTGACACCTCATGGCCTCCCCGGCACTGCATGACATCAGCACACTTACATACTTGCAGGCAATACACTCATAAACATAAACTAAAAATAATAGAGAAAAAAGGAGAGAGACCAAGGGCTGAGAGATGTCTGCATGGTAAAGATCACACAAGGTTGAGGTTCAAAGCTCAAATCTTGGCATTATAGATGCCAGGCGCATGTGGCCCACCTCTAATTCCAGTCTCAAATGGTAAAGACAGGGATCCACTGAGGAAGCTAGCTAGGTAGACTAGCCAAACTGGCTAGCTCTGAGCTCAAGTAAGACATCCAGCCTCAATACATAAAGGTCAAGAGAGCTCAAGGAAGATATTCATTGTCAACATCTGACTTCAACACACACACACACACACACACACACACACACACACACACACCCCTGTCCAATGCATACCCTTACATAAACATGCAGTCACACACCTGTGAACACACACATATACACATACATATTACACACAAGCAAAAGAAAAACGAGTGCAGAAACAAAATTGTTACGAGTACTGATATAATTCTGGGTACAGCCATGAGAATGTATGAAAAGCAATTGATTTTATCATAGAGATTTGAATATAGGGATTTATACTAAATGACATACAGGGCTTGAGCATTTAGGTAACTGGACAGGACATAATGGAACAGAAGAATGGTGACAGAACATGAAATAGTAGAAAAAAAATCAGTATGAGTGGCATAGTCGAGTCCACAGGCCTTGCAGGGAAATGCTTAGTGCAGTGCAGGAAGGAGCCAAATAACCCAAGGTACAAATGAGCAAGGTTTCCAAAGAGGGTGCACCCACCATTCTCAGATATCAGACTTGCAGCCTGAGAAGCATGTGGACTCTCCACTTCGTGACCCAAGATATGAGATTTGTGGGAGAATGAGAGATATTAGCTGGAGGCTTGGTCTGGTTTGTCCCTTAGAATGACCAATTTTAGTTAAAGCCCAGAGGTAGAGATATGTCATATGATAGGTTGTGAAAAAAGGATATTATTTAAAAAGTGATTTTTCATGAAATGGGTACTTCAGGGACAGAACTGAGTGAGATGAGACTAGAAGCATATGTCAGCTAAGGAGGGGACTGAGCCCACTGGTGATAAGAATAAAGGAGGGGATAAGTAGATATTTGCAAAAGTTTCATCTTGAGCAACTCCCAGGAACAACGAAGATGAGAGACTAAGTGGGCATATATCTTCAATTTAGTTAAAAGCAGATATATTCTCATTACAAAGAAGTGGTAATCAAGGAGACAGACGGCTCATTTGGAATTCAAGACAAGGTTTGAGATGGCAACTGGGAAGTCTCTGGATCTTACTGCAATCTGACTATAAAGTCAGAAACCCTACAGCTGGGAAGATGGGTCAGCAGACAAAGTGCTTCCCACACAAGCATGAGGAGCCAGGTTTGGACCCATGTGAAAAGTGAGCATAGTGTTGCATGCCTATAATCCAAGAACTGAGGAGGTAGAGGCGGGAAGAGTTCTGGAACTTGCCACTCAGCCACCCTAAGCAAATTGGTGGACTCCAGGTTCAGTGAAAGATCCTGTCTCAAAAATCAAGGCAACAAGCAATGGAAGAAGACACCCCATGTCAACTGCATGAACCACATATACGCATACACAAAACCACGCAATAGAAATAATAATCAGACACCCTGAAGCCACAAAAAGAATTTTGTTATCACAATTTAGTCAGAAGAAATTTATTCAAAATTAGAGGTTTAACACACAGTCCCAGAGATTGAGTGGAAGGGGAGCTGCTGATCAACAGAAGTTGGAATTTCTTCTGTGGGAAACAATAAGGTGTTGTTGAGTGTGCAACGGTGCTCTGCTGACAAAGTACTCTCAGAAAGACACGGGTGAAACATGAGACATAAGTCTAATTATAATTCCAAAACCACTTTCTTAAACTTATAAAAGTCCTATCAGGCAATATTTTGACATTTCTTGAGCATAGTACACAAATAAATGTGTACATATATCTTGACAGCTGTCTGAAATGCAAACAACAGCTAGGCTAGCATACGTCTCTCTTTATAATTAACATCTAGATAATTGCAGATATAATTATAAAAATCATATTTTGAACAAAAAGCATTATGGGAAATAAATTGATACTATTTCAGGGAACTTCACAAATATTTGCATTTTCAAATTGGTCTCGATTACCTTCTAATTGTGAGAACAATTATTTACTTCATTGCTGTTTAATTGAAAGATGCTTCCTCTTTTCATCAAATTACTGAGAACGTACAATGTAAACTCCCTGGCTAAGTACTGGGTGCTTCCCCAGTACAGGACAAAAGCATAATCCCTGCCTAGCAGGCTCATTTGTTAACCCTCTTAGAGATGTTTTCTATTTCCTTAGAGGAAAATATTTTTGAAGAATTTTTCTTGATATTGGTGCTTATATAAATCACACATGCAAACATACATATATACACATATATATCCTAGATCACCTATTATTCAAAGCCTAGTTTTGTTATTGTCTTTATTTTTATTTTATGCGTATGAGTGTTATGCCTACATGTGTGTAAGCACACCCATGTAGCACAGTGCCCGTGGAGGACAGAAGAGGGTATTGGATTTCCTGGAACTGGAGTTTTGGATGGTTATTAAACACCATGTGGGCACTGGGATTCAAACCCAGGTGTTCTGGAAGAACAGCCAGTGCTCTTAACCTCTGGGCCATCTCTCCAACCCTGTCAAAGCCTAGTTTTTGTTATGAAAGAAATAAGGCAACTCTGAGTCTAATTAATGAACAAAATTTAATTTTCTCATGAAATAACAAATTCTGAATGTGAGGCAAGAAATTTCTAAAGGAAAGAACGATTCCTTTAGAAATTGTAACTATCTAAAGCTGTTTGACCAAAAATTCTAATATACTGCTGGAGTGTAACTAAATAATCATCCTCAAAGCCTAAACTTTAAAAATAATAAAAAAAAAAAAATTTTAATATAAAAATACTGTATAATATATATATGCTGTATTTAACTTACTTGGATTGATGACAAAATCCTTCCTGTCATTCAGAAAGCGGTAAGCATCTGGCTTTCCATCCACATCTTTGTCATAAGCTCTGCTTAGTTCTGTTCCAGGAAGCTTGTTTTCAGGCAAGTTCACGGGGTTGATTAGTATCTGAATGTCTGCCCCAATATGGGAAAACACTGGCAATAACATAGAAAGACTTAAGCAATGCCAGGAACTATATAAAAATAAAAAGTTTTACCAATAATAATTTCGTAGGTTTGTCCTCATTGAAGATTTCCATAAAATTATAAGCGTCCAAGAAATTTGTAACTAAAACTGAATTAATATTTGTGTTTTAAATGACATTTTAGTAGACCTTTTATATTGGACTGTGTGTAATAAATGTGTAAGAAAGAATAAGTTGAGTTCACAGCTCTATTATATCCTTACTTCTTCATTCAATGTGGCTATTTATTACCAAGAACAGTAATTATTTCTGTCACAAGGAAGTGTCACCAATTTCCTCCAACTTACCAAACATTTCAGTCAAAGTATTTTGCACATTCACCTGAACTATATTTTAATATTGTTTGTTACACTTCGATTTTAAACACCACATCAAAACATCAGTGCAATGTCTTTTCTGCTTTATTTAATAATTTTCATTGTTTTCCTTGAGCATGAAAAGAAACTATTTTGTTTTAGATGTGGCTCATTTTAAGTTACGTAAATCTGTACTTTCACAGTAAAATCTAAATATAGGCACATCCTGAAACCTGCTCCCAGACTTTTAAGTATGACCAAATGGAATAGGATATGTGTACATATAGTATCCAAAACAGCCTAATATGAAAATTAGTCATAAGTTAGCAAATATACCAAGAAATGTTGTCATAGAGTAGAAAAGGGTGAAAAAAATACTGCTAAAAAAAAGAGGACTCTGAAAAGTGTCACGTATGGACTCCTGCAAAAAAAAAAACAAGACAATCTTAAGTTTTGCTCCTTGCTTACACACACAAGCATATTCACAAGGACACATGCATAAACAGGCCAAGAAGCAGTGAGACGCAAAGGACTGTTCAATGAAATAGGAAAGACAGGATGTCAGGGAGATTAAATGTCTTAACACCCAAGGTTTCTTAAAGGCAAACAGTCAGCAAATATAAACCCACCTGTGCATATTAACAAAATCTTGACAATGTTCATACTCTGACCAGTTTCTTCAAAACACATACCACTGACTACCTACAGATACACCACTCTGGTTATTTATACCAATTCATTCTTCACACAAAGTAAGCCAGCACGTCAATCGTTGTTATTCAACATTGATGACAATGGTTTTATTCTGTTGAGCTGAGTGTGCACATATTGTATTTCAGCTTTGTGTTTGCTCCCACATGAATCCAGTGAGATTATCAGACAGCCAGGATCGTTATGTGCCATCTGTTTAATTTACACCTTTACAGTTGATGGGTGGTTTCCTATAGAGAATTTCTGGTCAGAAGCCAAGTGACTTTTTCTTTTTTAAAGATATACTCATTTTATTTTTATTTTGTATGTATGTGTTCTTTGCCTTCATGTATGTATGTGAATGTGCATGTCTGGTACCCATAGAGGCCAGAATTGGAGTCACAGACAGCTGGTAGCTTCCATGTGGGTGCTGGAAAGCACACCTGCATCCTCTGCAAGAGCAGCAAGTGCTCTCAACAGCTGAGCCATCTTCCCAGCCCCTGATACCTTCTTTACTTCATGTTAATCTAGTGACTTCATATATATATATATATATATATATATATATATATATTTGCGAGCCCTGTACATTTCAGCCAGCATGGCACCAGCTATGCAATCACTTCTATGCTGACTGCTGAGGCATTACAAAGGACAACAAGACCCACTCTTATGTGGCTCATAACACAGCAGATATGAAGAATTCATAAAAATAGAAATATCATATCAGAATGATGAGAGATTCAATAAAAATTTGTGAACATTCAGGACCGAAAGAAACATCTCTGAAAAAGGAGAAAAAGAAAAATCTTCAAAGAGGTAGTTCCTCTAAATAATAAAGCTTTATACACCAAAGTCTTCTGACAATTATATTTTACAAGAAAAAGTTTTCAGCTTGTTCCCAAGACATATATGTTTATGTACTTATAAAGTATTCATATGCAACTTGGCATAGCATAGAATTATGTATAAGAACTAGAATAAATGTTTTTGAGGTTTTTTTTTTTAGTTTTTTTATTGAGCTTTTAGAATTTCATATAACATTTCCCACTCAAATACAGACTCCCTCCCCCACCCATGCCTCCCCCATCCCCACACTGAACCCTATGCCCTCTGCCATACATGCTGAGTCTTATTCACTCAGGTGTTTGTACCCAAATGTCCTTCAGTGTAAATGCATCCACTGGAGTCTAGTCAGCCCATCCAATGGTTATATGTAAGTCATACTCTCCCTCACCCAGCAGCAATTAGTTTTAAATAGCTCTTAATCTAGCGCTGGCCCACCACCTATTTCTCGCCTTCCCTTTGGGCCCTTGTTTAATTGAGCTGACATGGGTTCTGAGTTCAATGCCATCACTACCACAGGCTCACATGAGCAAGCCTCCAGTGGCCTGGAAGACCCCATCACCTTAGGTTCATGAACCAGCCCTGGCTCTTGCAATCTTTCCACCTCCTCTTCCACAATGGTGTCTGAGCTGTGGGTGGGTGAGGTTCCATATAGGAGTCCCATCCTACACTCTATAGTCTCTTATTCTCCAAAACTTGGCTAGTTGTGGCCTTCTGTGTGCATCACACTCTGATATACTTGGAAGCCTCCCTAGTAAGAGTTGAGGGGTGCCTTAGCCCTCTCTCTACCCCTTATCCTGCTATGTTCCATGAGCCTTGGTTGTAGAGATTCAATTGCAGATGTGTAACCTGGAACTGGGTATCTCCTGAGTGTTTGTTCTCTGTGCCTGTCCAGATGTGCAGCTCTGCAGTAGCCTCCATCTGTTGCAAAAAGAAACTCCTTTGCTGAGTGCTGTATGGCATGTTTGTCACTTTAAGGGAGTTCTCTTCTATCTGGCCCTGTATTCCCTACCAAGTAGCTCCTAGGTATGCATATTCATTAATAGAACTAGAATAAATTCTAACAATTTATATACTTAAAATATTATATTGTGCTTTATATATTTATTATCATAAATACACTGAAAATGATATAAATATGGTACACTAAAATGACTTGTCTCCAAAATATTGAAAAGATTTATTTTATGTTACTATTATTATTTTGTAATAAATCATGAGATGAACACTCAAATAAATATAAAACAAAGGATATTTCTTTAAATACTTCTTTCATTTTATTCATTAACTATTCAAGAAGAATTTTACTTATTAAATACATTATTAGATATGGATATGTTTACATTATGAAGAATATAAAGCTAATATATTATGATACTA